ACTCCCTACATTTTTCTAATTATTGGTTCAAGTTTGGGGGGGTTGTATTTCAAATTTTGCACACGGGTTTTATTGGCCTGGGACCGTAAATACTGTACATGATTTGATTTGTTACTATAGCCATGCAGATGATGATGACTGTAGATAGCGGCTCAGATAATAAGTCACACCAACTTTCTCCAACTGCCGGCAGACACGTTGTAGTCTCACTCTTGCAACCATAGACCAGCGGATATATAGTCCCCAAGTCATCCTTGTTTCTACGAGAGAGCGAAGTTAGCAGTTAAGGAGGCGGGGCTTCTCTAGGTCCATGCCTTGGGGAGGTCTGGGCACGCCCCGCTGTCCTTCAACCTACAGCCCTTTTCCAGCCTAACCCCGCCCACCACCGCCACCTTGCCGCTCTGTTCGCCACGTGGGCCGGGGGGCCTCGAAGGGTCTTTTTGCGAGAATGAGTCGGCTTGGATGCGCCTGCTCTTAAAAGAGGCCGTTCCCGGAGTCTTACAAGTGGGTGTTGAAAGAAGAGTGGAGCAGGGGTTGGGAGGTGGCAGTTTCCGAGCGCGACCGAGGAAATGAAATTAGTTCGGACAGAAAAACAGGCGGACATTAGCCACCCTGGGAAAGAAGAAGGCTGGGAAAGCGCCGCTAGCCGGCACTGAATGGGGGATTCGGGTGCGCGAGGGTCCTGCTGTGGGGGATGCCGGTGAGAGCTAAGCAGCGGGAGCCGAGAGCTCGGAAACGGGGCCCCCGATTTAGGGAGGAGCAGTAGCGGGTAGCACTTACACGTTGGCGTAATGGAGCGAGTAAGAGCAGGGGCTAGGAAGTCCCGAATTCGGCTGTGCCACGCAGTGCACCGAACGCCTTTGGCACGGCGGCGGGCTCTGAAACTTGTCTCCCTATTTGCAAATAAATAATGGCGTGGCTTTAAGGATTATTGTTATAAAGATCTTAATATATGTAAAATAGTTGGAAAGCTGAACGGTTTATATACGTATATAAGTGGTGCCTCTGCTGTAAACACATGAGGACCGCTTTCTCAACTTGAATTTCAGGAGAGATGATAAATTGCAAATTTCATCCTAACTCTTGGGCATGCTGGTTGAGGCTAATAGGAGTTGTTTCCAAACCTCTGGGAAAAACACTGATACTGCGTATCCCTCCTAGAATACAAGAGTAGGAGTAATATTTTTAGAGTGTTGGGGGGAAATTAAAGATAGAATTGCTGTTAAAAAAACGGAACAAAAGTGGCAAATAATCGATGTTTTTGTAGGTATAATCGGTTCCCTTAATATCATACTTTCTCTAGTTGCATGCAATCCCTGTTTAATATCTTTCCTCGAGTTACTAGATGAAAATATATACTAGGATTGCCAAGCTTGGTGGTGAGAATTTAATTTGCCCTTGAGTACAAGCATCAAGCTACATGTATGATTCAACTCTGCCTTTAACTGAATGCATAACCAGACATTTCTATCAGGCTAAATTAATAGTACAAGCCTAAAATTTCAAGTAACAGCTTTTAGGTTTAGGACTCACCAGTAAAATTTCAGAATGCACATTTCAGCATCCCCAATTTAAAAAAAAATAAAAAAGAATTTCTGTGTATGGAAATAAAATGTTCCTAAGAAATCTTGCTGTCTTTGTGGTATGCTTCTTTCCTCCACATTGTAAAAATGTAGTCCCTCACATGTGCATCTGAACTGGTGGTGTTCTCTGTTGGAACTTAGGGGTGTTTCAATATAGTGAGGTTCAGGTTTGGTGGTTAGGGGCCTACAGAGGGGATCATGGGAACTGAAAAATTGGAAAACTATAGAAATCAATGAATAAATCAGGAAAAAATAAAGGATTGCAGATTTAATTTGAAAATCCAGTAATGTTTAGTAGTTGAGGTGTATTCTGGATCATCCTCTTAGTTTTTAATTGCCCTCAGTGAGCTCTGTTGCCTATTCTATTTAGAAACAGCTTAACAGTTTACTATATTTTCCATGTTTTGTCCTTCATTTTTCTTTTATGTGTTAGGCATATATCAGAGAGGGATTACTGTGAGTTTGATTGTCTACAGAAAGCACAGCAAGCTAGCAAACATTTTACAGTTCTGACTACTGTAGTTAAGAACAGGCAGGCATCTGGGAACCTGCAATGCTAATTGCTGCCTTTTGGCAGTTGCACAAAAGGTGCTTTGTATTCTAAACTTGAACTCAGCGACTAAATGCCACCTTTCAAAATACAGCTTCATATAGTAAATGGTACTACAGTCTGACTGAGTAGGGGCACTGGTCTGCTGGTGTTTTAGCTCATGCACATACTCGTGCTTTGTGAGGTGACAGAATTCTGAGGCCCTGCAGAAGCTTGCTTTTGGGTTTGAGGGTCCACCTCAAAAGAGCATTCATGCAGTCTTGCACTTAACATCTGACTTTATATGCAGGTTGTGGTCCTTGCCCACACCTGGAAAGATGAGTGGCTGGATTTCAAGCACGGTCTGCCTCTTATTGCTATTGAGTAGCGTTTGCACCCAGAAGAGCCAAGATCTCCGCTGTGGAGGTAAACTATTTTTAAAATTAATCTAATTAACAATAGTTAGGTAGAGTGCTTAAACATTTTAAAACAGAAAAATTTCATAGTGGCTTTTAAAATGTGCACCTTCAGGAAAATGTTTCCACGTTGGCTAATAAGGAATACCAGAGCTGCTCAGTTGAATTATATGTTTGAGTAAAGAGATAAGTCATTTCTGTGTGTGTATGTGTTTTGAATCTAGAATCTAGGTTGAATCAAGACCTTACAATAGAAGGTAGAGAAGGATGGCACAGGGTTTTAGTCTAGCTCTCAGCAGTTTCTCATCTGGTCCCTGGAGTTCTCATCCTAAAAAACTTCATTTGATATGCATGTCAGTTTTTTTGCAGCAAAATCTACACCTCTGCTTATACAAATATGCACTTCAGCTATTTGCACACGGACCAGCAGCTGAGATAGCTAAGCAAATGCATTATTAAAAGTCTTTTGCCCATATCTTATGACCAAATAATTAACATGCATATTAAACTACAACCATTGTTGCCACTTACTGAAAGGAAAGGATTAAAAAGCCAAGTTCACATTTACTTGTTAGGGCTAGTAGAACTTACCCTTCAAGCCTTGCTTTCCTTCACTTAGATAAATTCTTCTTCACCAAAGCCTTCTGCGTACCTCAGATAATGGTCTCTCCCATCTAATTGCAGAAGGACTTCACTTTTTTTCATTGCGGACTAAACAATTGGCATTAATTCAAATGCTGCATGGCCCATGTGAAAAGGCTGCTAAGAACTGGCTTCCAAATAACTATTTGAGGACCCAACCCAAGGCAGTGCCAGTGGTGGGAATTAACAACAGAACTGCATATAATTGGTAGTAGTTGGCTGCACGCTGGATGCTTTATGCTATTCCAAACATATTTTCCTCTTAATGGGCAGGCCGGGGCTGGGAACTGATGTTCTGCAATATTTGGAGAGCTACAGGTTGGTTAGTTCTACTTACACACAGAAGTATTTTTTTTGAACTTGAGAGATTATTGGACCTATCCTAGAAAACACCTTCAGGAAAGGATCATATTAACACCATCCTTTTCCTGCTGTTCCTTTTGTCTTGGATTGCTAGCTCCTGATTTGAAGCAGTACCTATTGTAATCCTGCTTGGTTATGAGTGATGGAAAAGAAGAGTAGGAAAAGGAACTTGTTTCATCCACTGCAGTGGTTAAGCTGCTGGCCTAGAAACCAGGAGACAGGGCATTCTAAGCCTCCCTTAGACATGAAAGCCAGCTGGGGGATTTTGGGCTAGTCACTCTCTCTCAGCCCAACCCACCTCACAGTGTTGTTGTGGAGAAAATAGGAGGCAGGAGTATAAGGTATGACCTTGAGTTGACCAAAATATATGTATGTTGATAAAAATATAACAATAATAGTAATGCTGCAATTGGTACTGAAGGCAAAGGAGAATTTGGCAATCCAACCTCCTTGCTGTTTATATCTCCTTGTCTGACATAGACTGTAAATTCTCTACTTAGATCCTACTAAATAAATTGTTACTAGACAGAGACACAGTCCCTTGGCATGGTTCCATCTGCAGCATGCTCTGTTTTAAATAATGCATTTGTTTAGCTGCCAAATGTTGAAGAATGTCATCAGAGAGAAATCATGGAGTTAATGCCTGAGTGATGGCTAGCTAGGAAGAAGAAGAAGAAAGGTTAAAATGGTACAGATGGCCACTTGAGTGACAACTAATGAGAAGGGAAGCCTGCTCTGAAATTTAGTTAATCTGAGCTCGCTAACACAAATTTACTCTCTTTTGTTCTTTTGCTGAGATTTTCAGCTGTGATTATAGGCTTGTTAATGACCTGGTGACTCAGTCCATCACCACAAAAAATGGAAATATGTTGTGAATCCTTGTATTATATACACAAATGTTTGGTGTGGACAATACTTATCAAAATTGTCCCTTAACCATTCTATATCTGACTGTATTGTTCTTGATAAATAATCCTCTTGTTAGTACTGATTCCTAAGTGATGTTTGCTTTTAGCATGCCGGGCTCTGGTGGATGAGCTGGAATGGGAAATATCTCAAGTAGATCCGAAAAAAACTATCCAGATAGGTTCCTTCCGCATTAACCCTGATGGAAGCCAGTCCATAGTAGAGGTAATGTATTCTGTACTTGACACAGATTAGTCAAATCTTTGAAAGCTTCCATTACAATTGCTGAGATGGGAGAACTGGGAAATGGTTAAAAAGCTCGTGTGAGGGGGGAAAAAATTGAAGATTTTAAATTTCTGATGGATAGGTGCTCCTCTGGAACCATAGCAGGGTCCCAAACTTGGCTGTTGGCATTACAGTTTTCTTTGTCAGTCTGTTTGATATTTGAAGGTATGAAAGTTCAGAAATAATTTTATTTGTGAAGTACATGATGATTAATCATTCTTCTGTGGCATTTGTGAGAGTTTTCTACATCATATACTGTACCTCCTATGCCAGAACAAAAAGGGATTTGCAGTTGTCTTTGATAGTTAGGGAGGGCTTCTGTCATCTTTTTATTTTAACAAATAAAATCTTTTTAATCGTTTGCTGTTAGGTGCCCTATGCCAGATCTGAGGCTCACCTGACGGAACTGTTGGAGCACATCTGTGAGAACATGAATAACTATGGTGAGAAGGTGGATCCTTCCACCCACAGGAAGAACTATGTGAGAGTGATCTCCTTTGATGGGACCAAGATGGATCTTTCTGAAACCAAATTTGATGGTGATGTGACATCAAGACTGAAGTTTGCAGTAAGTGATCCAGAAGGCGTAGCTGGGTTAGGAAAAAGATGACCTTTCTTTTAGATGCTCCTAATTGTGATATATGGCTTTTCTGTAGAATGCAAGAGCCACACTAGATCAGAACAGAGGCATTTTTAGTTCATTATTCTGTTCTAAGAGTGGACAACCAGTTACCTACGAGAAGCTTATAAGTACATTCCCTTGTAGTAGTTATTCAGCTCAATCTAGTAGATGTTCTCCTTAACTTCACCAGCAGCTGCTATTGAGAGACAAGCTTCACAACTTAGTGAGAAATGGTTGAACTCGCATACATCAAAAGGTTTCAAGCAATCTCAGAAGGTCTCAAGAGACACAGTGGGTTTTTAACACACTGCAATTCTTCATTGATAAGGTACTTGTAATCTGTCTTACATGTAATCCACACCTGTATAACCATTCCCTACCTCACCCCAGTTTAAATTTTACATCAGTCTAGCTGTTTATGCATCTGATGAAGTGAGCGCAGCTCATTAAAGCTTATGCCTTTTAATAAAATGTGTTAGTTGGAAAAGATGCTATCAGGCTTCTTCTAATTTTGGGGCACCATAGACTACTAGTTTTCCTCTTATGACAGCTTAGTAGTGATGGGTTATGGTAACAAATGGCTGACATGCTAGTTATAATTTTATAGTTACAGCTAAATTTTGGTTATATGCTGTACAAGTGTGATGGAATGGAATTATGAAGGCCAGGCTCAGGGAGAAAAACATTTTCTTACATCTCCTGAGGAGCGTGGGAGATACAAGAGGATGAGACTGACACCTCCCTGAGGAATTCACACAGTTGTGGCTGGAGGACTTTGGGAGCTGGGGTTTTAGTCTGGGAAGATTCTTGCTAGAGGTT